ATGGATACGTGGTAATGTCTCCATTGTCAATAGCAGGAGGGGGCCCACATTTTCCTGTGGACTCTAAGAGAGGATATCGTTGGTTTATTGAGTGAGCAGTTGATTTTAAGGGAGCTGCAGAGTAGGTGGGAGCTACACTCACCTCCTCCCGGCCCCAAACCGATTTACAGGAAACGATAGAGCAATCAGCCTGAGTAACCAAATGAAGGCCAGCTGGACAGGAGTCTAGTAACCAAGTGCTTACAGAAGCTGCACAGAGACTGGGAGGGGAGAATGAGACACCTACCCTTGCACTCAGGTGGGTCTGTCCAATTCCCACTTAGACATGTCACTTCTGCATTCCCGACGAGGCTCAAAGGGTGCCTGCATTCATAACGTGCTGTGTCCCCATGTTGGTACCTGCGCATCTCGTTTGGAATAGAGGCATTTTGCACTGTGGGAGGGCTGCCACAGGAGAGATCTGAATAAAGAGAAAAAACATGGATCTTTAATGCAGTGACCATTAAGACACAATTGAGAGTGAAAATCTTCACAAATTTACATGTAAGATTGAAAAAAAGATGATAAAGCAATTCTTTTTTGGTAAGAGTTAAGCTTTTGTATCTTAAATTTCTTTCCCATCCTCTCTCAAAAGTTAATAGAGATTTTTAGGCCAATGAAAATGATGATTATGCTGTGCAAAAGGTTTTAGTTTGATGTTGTCATATTTGTTTATTTTTTTCTTTTGTTTTGCTTGCCTGAGGAGATATATTAAAAAAAATATGGCTATGAGAAATGTCTAAGATTTTACTGCCCATGTTTTTTCTTCTAAAATTTTTGTGGTTTTTGAATCTTACATATACATTTTTAATCCATTTTAAGTTTATTCTTGTGGTATAAGAAGGTCCAATTTCATTTTTTTTTTTGCTTGTGTCTGTCCAATTATACCAGCACCATTTATTAACCAATAGCACCCCAGTAAATTCAATAAAAATTTAAATACCTTCTTAAAACTAAAAAAAAAATGATGGTTTTCTGAAAATTTTTCTCTAAGTTAAGTAAAATAAACATACATAATATAAAATCAAAGTGAATTTATAAACCCAAGAAACTCATAATAAACATATTATTTGGCAGCCAAAGGGGGTTCACAAACATCATGTTTTAATTGTGATTTTAGGCCCTTAGGAAATGAGTAGAGTAGCCAGGTTCTTAGAGAATAAGTCAAGTATTTACATGCTTTGAGGAATATCGCTTGGCTAATGAAGATGATCACTTAAGATATCCACACAGAAACTGAGGAAAAATAGGAGTACAATATATTTACAGTTCCCTAAAAATACTTCAATAATGTGAGTGCTTAAGGGCACTGCAGTGAGCTCTGTGCAGTTCATTGGGGAGACTCAGTAATAAGAGGCTGAAGCTACGGTTCCCCACAAAAGTGGGCGTAGAGCCCGCTGGGAATTGCTACAACAGTTTCAGGGTAACAACCCCTGAGCTTCTGATGCTGAGTCTGAGTGAGCCTGGGAGTTTGCATTTGCCTTCCTACCGATTCCCCAGAGATGCTGACACGGCTGTTTCCGGGGTCACACTCTGAGGGCTCTGGAGCCCCAATGCCCAGCACTGAATGCACATGCCATTCCTCTACGCTGAGGCATAGACCTTCCTTCATCTGGCCTAACCCAGAACCTATGTCTAATTTTTAATGAAGCCAGAAGCCATTCATCAAAATACCTCTGCATGTGGGTGTTCCTATCCATATGCCGTCCCTACACTCTACAAAACTGAACCCATCCACTTGGTAATAATCTGCACGGCGATCCTAGATTCTTTGGTGACTACATCCCCCTAGAGTGGAGGGCGGAACCCCCTGAGAATGGGCAGAGCACAACTACCAGAGGAAAGAGCTGCCAGGAAACAACAAATTCCAAGATCCCAGGGCACACCCAGCACTGGAAACATTCAGATTAATCAGTCCCATGGGAACAGGTCTTAAACACCAATCACTAGAGAGACTAGAAGAGGCCTTCTCCATCCAGACCCTGAATAAACTCTTCTGTGTAGAGGCTCCCACACCAGCCTTATCCACTTAAAAACAAGCCTTGACTAGATCACGTTGACCGGAACAGCCTAGTCTTCCAACACAGAACATCAAGCCAGTAGGACTTGGGGTGTCCAACCTCAAACCCCCAAGAGGAGCACTCTGGGAGGAGCCACTCGGGGTGAAATTGTTGCTCTCAGAGCCTGCGGGGCATCCAGTGTGGGCCCTTGGCTCCAATGGTGTGTGAAACTTCTCACTGGGTTCCCAGAGCCTCATGCAGGGTGATTGTCAGAACCTCTGTTCTTTGTGACAGAACCTCCTAATCTGCCATCTTGCGCATGACACTGTTATACAGGTTTGCTCTTTGTGGTCTTTTGCTCTTGTTTTTTAAAAATTTATGTCTACCAATAAGCTTCCTTATTTTTCTATTCATATACCAAGAAATTGGCGTTTCCACTCATACACACTTGAAAAAATAAAACCAGGTAGGGCCATTGGCAAAATAGGAAGATCAGAGAAACCTCTTGCCACAGTTATTACAGGCGAGTCTTAGACAATGACAAACAGACTGGATCTTAGACCAGTTTTCTTACCGACACGGATGCATCTGGGAGGAGGGAGCCAGCCATTCTCCGTACAGGTCATTGTGGTCTGCTCATTTTGAAGTATGTAGCCAGGAAAGCAATTAACATTTACAGATGTGCCCTGCACATATTTTTGTTCAGATTTTGGATGATGTCCGTTTTCCAAATAATTGAAATTGCATATACCTGAGAATTATAAAATGATGATTAAAATACCACATAAATGGGGTCAAAATAAATTAAAAACTATCTTTATAATATTTAAATTAGAATGCATAAGCATCTGAAAGTAACACATAACTGAAGAAACACGATAGCTGCTACCAAATATTTTTAAAAGCAATATTAAATGGTATTTATCTGCAATTTCCACAATTGAAATATGTATAAATGCTATGCATATGCTTGTAGAATCTCTTTCTAGCCTCGTGCTGTTAATGAAGAGCCCTGGATGAAAGAGAAATCCAGTGTCGGTCTTTCTGCTCAGAGACTCATCCTCCACCTACTTTCCCCACAGGCTTAGGGAGCTCATGTTTGCTCTCTCCACACTGAACTATGGCAACCTGTACAGGACAAAGAGGTTCACTCACTGCGGCAGGGCACTTTCGGGGTCCAGCCATCTCGTGTGCAAGTCATGTAATCCCACTTGCCTCGTGAAGGAGTCACATAGTTGTCATCACAGAAATAGTGAAACCATTTTCCTACTGCTACTGGGAAGTATGGTCTATACGATTCTTCCCTATGTAGGCCCCCATGTTTTATTTCTGGAAAGTCACAGGGCTTCACTAGCAAGTAAAACAAACAAAACACAGTATAAGTCTGTGTCACAGTGGTCATGGCCTCCTCTTTTCTGTCAAGAGGCACCTGACTGTCCACATTCATTTGGCCTTGGAGTGAGAGAAAAAGTTAAGAACCATATAATTTCACTCACATGAGGGATAGAAAACTGAAAGCAACAAATGAAGAAACAAGAAAAACAAACAAAACCTCATAGACACAGACAATAGTATGGTGGTTACCAGAGGGAAGCGGGTGGGGAGTAGTAAAGGGTAAAGAGGGACAAATATATGGTAATGGAAGATTTGACTATGGGTGGTGGGCATACAATGCAATATGAAGATAATGTATCACAGAAATGTACATCTGAAACCTACATAATCTTATTAACCAATGTTACCCCAATACATTTAATAAAGAGAAAAGGGAAACAGGCATTGGCTGAGACTGTCCTGGGCAAACAGGGGCAAATGGTTACTCTACCTAGCTCAGTCTTCTGACTTCTTCTTTTCTCTAATTACATTTTTTCCCTTAGTGACTTCATTCAATCTTGTGCTTTTTAACATTGAGGTCTTCTAACTTTAGATCTTCAGCCCAGCTCTCTCTCCTAAACTACTGATCATAGATCCAGCTGTCTACTTTGACATCTCCCCGTTTGTCTCATATACATTCGCTCAACCCAAAACTGAACTGTGCTTCCTCCACCTCCCTCACCATGTCCTAGCATTCCCTATCTCAATTAGTGCTGACTCCATCATTCCAGTTGTTCAGAGGAAAAACTTGGAGTCTTGACTCCCTTATATTATAGCCCCACATCTGATTTATCAGGAACTCATGTTTGCTCTACTTTAAAAACATACCCAGCATCCTATACCTCTCAATACCTCCACAGCCACCAGATCCAAGTCACTATCATTTCCTTCTCAAATTATTAGAACAGTCTCCCTGCTTCTGTCCTTTCTCCTCTAAAATCTATTTTCTTTATTATTGTTATTATTATTATTATTATTTAATCCTCAACTGAGGGTATTTTTCCATTGGTAGAGAGCGTGGAAGGGAGAGAGAGGGAGGGAGGGAGGGAGGGAGAGGGAAGGAGAGAGAGACATCAATGGACAGAGAAAATCATGGATCGGCTGCCTCCTGCACGCCCCACACTGGGGATCAGCTCACAACCCGGACATGCGCCCTGATGAGGAATGGAACGGTGACCTCCTGGTTCAAAGTCAATACTAAATCATGAGGAACTATATTAAAGGGTCTCAGCATTAGGAAGGTTGAGAACCACTGACAGAGAGGAACGGGATGTGCACTCAGTGCTGGGATTTGGAGCCCCAGAGCCCTCAGAGTGTGACCCCAGAAACAGCCGTGTCAGCATCTCTGGGGAATGGGTAGAAAGGCAAATGCAAACTCACAGGCTCACTCAGACTCGGCATTAGGAAGGTTGAGAACCACTGGTCTAGGTGGTCA